TGTTCGTATTAAACAATATATTTAGATAAAACCTGTATTTACTTAGATCAATTAAGTAGTTGTCGTGTCACGTAAACAGCAATTAATTGAAGTGTGGAACTAGCAAGGTTAAGCGAGTGGTCAAGTTTTGGTAGTGGAGGCCTGAGTCGGGAAAAAGTAGATTAGGACGAGTAAGAATTAGAGGGAGAGGATGGACTGAGATGGCTGGCGATGAAGCAAAGTTTAATAAAGGCGCATTCACCATTTTACAATATGGTAGTAGGAATGCACTAACAAGGAGATTTGGGCACTCCCCGCGCATAATTGCTTTGGTACTAGCTTATTTTTATGTAAACAACGACAGTGCAAGAATTGGTTCCTCCCAGGCAATGGCATGTACCTCAACGACGGGAAGTTACAACACCTCAAGGCGTGGCTTATGGCACAGCAAGTAGGCTTAAAACGCTTCAAAAGTTACTGTCACTGATGCTGAACGTGTTATTAGTGCTGCTGCTACTTTTCCACTCTAGTTGCTAGTATTATTGTCTGGCCCCACCCATCCATTCTTTAGTGCTAATTTTCAATATTTTAGTTTTGTTGGTCCGCGCACCCCGTTGCTTACTTATACGCATTGGGTAACTGGTCGATGGATCAATGTTCACTCCTCATTGGTGCTGATTGATGACGAATGAATTAATAAAATCGATAAGACAACGTGGTATTAAGTTAAGCTCGAGGGGCGTGAGTTTTGGCCATTTTGCAGCGGTTTGCAGGGCTCATCCCTCACTCAAGGACTTGTGTGACGCACCGATCAGCCCACCAAACTCAACTTCCTTTCTCCCTCCCTCCTTCCATCTCTTCATTTTACATCTCCCCAACCCATTTAAATAGTATATTGTAATGCTGATAGGTAGCTGATCAACATCATTAAAGCAAGTACTACTACTACCTAATTTCCTCTGCAGAAATGAGATAAATGCAGTAGAATCAATAATCTTTATTCAGTAATTAATTGGAAATATTAATTTACAAAATAAAAACTTTTACGTAAACGCATAGGTTTACGATTTCTGAGTCCACCTCTCAATTAAGGTTAAAACGAGACCAGAGTGTCCGATTTGAGCCCTAAAAATGGACTAATACCGCTTAGATGTGGATGATAAAAGGGGATGGAAAGGAAGAAGTCTGAGACGTTCAAGTTAACGAATAGGTGAGGTCTCCATTCCTTATTCATCCTCTCCACTCCCACTCCAACATGGTGGTCTCTGTGTAGCACCCTTACTCCCAGTTCATACGAGGAGTTCTGAGAAAGGAAAAGTGTGAGAGGGGTTAGGTCGGATAATGAGTCCTTATTAATGGGTTCACTTAAGGTCACTCGATAAAGTCGTTGTGAGGGTTAACGCAATGCCTAAGTGTAGGGTTTCCTACTCATTTGGGACAATGAATATGACGTCTAAAATTATTAAAAATACTTCAAGATGTGCCATTTTCTTTGCCGCAGCTAATAAACAGTTTGGCATCAATGCTGTGTTCGTGATGATGATAAAGAGGAGCACTTGGCACACTTTCATACCGCCTATTGCTTCTTTATGGTCAATCACGGCGTTTGTGGCACCCAAATAACTTTCAAGGCTGGCAGATGTATGGGAGAATACTCTAAAAGTAGAGAGCAAAGACGGAGGACGGCATTCAAATGCAAATGATCATCCCATCAAATTACCATTCACTATTAAGCGCATACAACATATCTGAGTAGCAATTCATGGTTTTGATGTATTAGTTTGAGGAATAAACCCCAATTAAGTACCTCTAAAGGCACTTAATGGCTATGGACGAAGGTGAAACTTCATAATAGCAACGAGGTTAAAACTACGAACGCATTCGCATCCACTATAGCCCGCATATTTGTAAGTAAAGCTTTACTTAATTCGTGAAATGTTTTCTGCACTTTCGTCGATTTACTACAAGTAAAGGCACCAACGTCTTTAAAAAAGGTAGTCCCTGTCGCACTCTCTGACATTGTCCCCTCTAATTCCTACCCGCTCATCGCCTTCACGTACCCACCCGTAGCTTAAAAGGCGCAAGAAGGTATTTCCTACGTGTGACATTGTTTTAATCCATTAAAACATATTTGCCAACTTTGTATTGAAGCGTATATGCGTACGGTTGCTATGGGTATACTGTGTATCAAGCTAAAATTTTACACAACTAAGATGGCAGAACCGTCTTAGGCCAGTTCTTCTTTCCTTCTTTCTCTTTTGATGCATCTTAATCGCACAATCTGTAATTACTTGTCAAAGTTGGGCAAAATTGCATCGCACACGCCCAACCACTCGAAATTGCCAAGGCTACCGACGACGCCAGCGCCTTTTATTTGAAAGACAAAAAGTAATTCCCAAAAAAGCCTTCGCTTATAATTATGCAAGTGGGTTGTACCAAAAAGGTCTTAAAAAATTGTGTAAAGGAGTGAAGTTTTTTTTTCAAAAGTTAAAATGGAAATTAACGCTTATCTTGTAAAATGGCATTTGAGACTGAAATCCAGTTGATGCAATGACAATGTTTAAGTGGTAAAAGTAGTTTGGTATAACTTTATAAGGAGTTTTTTTTTGCCATTTAGGAAGGCATAACACTTAAGCAGACTGTAGATTAAACCTAAACCTCGCTAAACTGTCATTTCTGAGAGGCCCCTTTGACAAATCCAATTTAAATAACCGATTGTGTTGCTTCCCTTGTCGCAATTTCTACAAATGTTATTTACTTTGTATTTAATGGATGTTATGGCGCAATAGGCTATGCTACAAAGGCTGGGGAATGGCATGGTTCTGTAGAGGGCAGTTCTTTGTATGCCCTCCATTTTGACAGAGTTTGCCTAATTTTCATATGCCGCCTTCAATTGGATTTCAACAAAACTGTTTTAGCATGTCACTTAATTGCCATCTCGACATCTGTTCCACAATACAGTCTGCTGGATGGTTCACAGTTGTGGATTTGTTTAATTGACTGCTCGTATGATAGGCGGGTGCTGTGGTTTGATTCTTGTCAAGCTAAGCCGCACTTTTCTCCCTCTCAACGTCGTCTCCTGTTTGATGGGAAGCCTCGAGACGCCACTCAGGTGGCAGCGAAAAGCGAAGCTGCCTTTCTTACGACCTCCATCTTAGTGTGACATGCATCAGTGGGGCGAGGGAAGCGTGCATACTTTGAGGGGAAAATTCCCTCAATTCTGCACCATAGAAAGGTTTAACATAATGTGTTTTTCCCACAGACAAACGTCAAACAGCTAAAGCGACATCGCTGTGAATGAATGTTGGTGATGTTACTAGGCAAATCCCTTTTGCAGTGTCTCTTTCTATGGTCAACAGAAGTGTTTGCACTTCAATGTTGGCAATCAGACCGAATGTACCTCCACATCGTTGTGAGGCTGCTGAGATGGTCAGGCACGATCCCTCACTCTCATGGCACCTGATGACAGGTGTGATTGCCTCGTGAATACTTCCTTGTAGCATCAGTCATGTTGTGACGATCGCCGATGGTGATATATCGAGAGCTGCGCAGACATCGTGGCTCAAAAGAAAAAGGTGATAATCTGTATGTGTGGCAGTCACCTTGGCATTTGTGTTCCTCTCCTCTTCTCCTCTCCGAATGCCGTCTGATGTAATGCCTTCTTGTACCTGGTAAAAAGTCTCACGACGCTCTGTAAGGTATTCACCAAAAGTCTATAGCATTTGCAGGCGTCATTACCGATGTTCTCACTTGCATCGCATTGACTTCCTTCATTTCATCATCTCTAACCTAAAAAAAAACCTTACTTTCATGGGCTAAAGCCCAACTCACTCGGTGTGTGTGTTGCCATCTTTACTTCAACACTGGTCCCTGTGGTCCACATTTTTCTCTATCCTCTGTCAGTGCTTCAAAGCTTCCGAAACGTGTGAATTAATGGCGTCCAGGTGTGTCTAGAAAAGGGACAAAAATCGACCTCTTTACGCATGTCTCGTGAATATCATCACAATTAGTGGTACAGAATGGTTAAATGCCCCCGTCACTTCCATTATTCCACCAAGCCTCACACCACAGACAGCTGTTACGACATGGCAGTGCTTTAAGCTCCTCCGCAAGAAAAGGGGAGTGAGGCGTCTCTTTGCTGCACAAAGGTGCCTCTGAGTGGACTTTGCTTTCCGCTGCCACAGATGCAAAACTCCGAGGCATCTCCAAAGCCGAAGGAAGGTAAAATGCTTGAGGATTACTATCCATTCTCGACACCGACATCACCTTAAAAGCCAGCTAATCTAGTTGATGTACCCATGCGGTGCGACCAAAGCCCTCTTGTTTACCCCCGACGGTTTATTTGAACCTCGATGTTGCAAAGATTGTTCGTGTTGATCAGTCCCACCCAAATCCATCACGAACAGACGAAGAGAAGTTTAAGTTATTCTTGATTTATGCAACACTCACTTTGCCAAGGGATTCTCGTAGTCATGCAAGGTCAAAAAGGCTTTAAGACTGCAGCAGTCGACTTGCCTTTGGCAATGCGAGACAAAAGGACGTACTTGTCACATCATCACTCAACCAACACTTTTGCCATTATTTGACTGAGTCCAGGGCATAACTAATGCAGAAGTGTGAAAATAAACCATTTTACCTCATGATAAGTCTGATGGTCTATCGTTGAAGGCACCTTTCAGTTGTGAATGGCCTCCCGCCTCCCCATTCTACGCACCTTTAAATCCAGTTTGGCTTTACTACCTCTCCTCCATTCACTCACAAGCCCCTCCAAACAAGGTCACGACCTTTGAGATTACCCTGACAATGTCGCCACCCCTCCCGCTACTACTTGAACGACAAAGCTATCCCTAGGATGATTACTTCAACTCCTACAGCCATAGCAACTCCTTTTCCCATCCATTCCAACAAGTTCAGACCACAGACGTTTGATGCCTACAACAACCAATGATTAAACTTAAAGGTTTGTATCGAAGAGCTGAAACATTAAGAGGAGTAAAAGTGAGGAGGTCATGTCTTCCGCTCTACAATGGATGCTGTCGATTTTGCTGTCGGTAGAAGTGCACCACCCAACGCCATCGTTTCAACAACCAAAATCGCAATGCTGGAATGTAGTAGAAGAGGAAGTAGGGAATAAGCATGGGATGGAGGAGTTGAATCCAAACACCAATCTTCTGATTGTAGCCGTTAATGGGGTATTGAGTAAAGCCAACAGCACTGATGAATTGGTATGTCAAGTCGTAGGAGAAGGCGATGACGTAGGACACAAACATGGGCACTATGCACATAGTTGAGGTGGACCAGCCTTTCATTTCACTGTAAGCTTTTAACTCCTGTTCTGGTGTGTTAGGGAAACTCAAAGTGTTCAATGTGTCCATAAACTTTTCTCGAGGTGTCTTTTTAACCCACTTAATGATGAGACAACAAGAGATCAGTAGAACCAAGCTATTTACCAACAAAACTTGAACAAAGAAGATGTAGACCTCAGCATAGGCGAGTTGGAGAAAGGAGAGTCGCATCAGGGCCTCGTCACAATAACACCGATCTCCATCATAGTTTAGTGTGAATACTTGAGGCACAGTTATTATTGCGCTGTAGAGGGTCAAACCTGCAATGTAGACAAGGTCAATGTTTCGACTAGATGCAAAGGAGAGTTGAAGATTGGCGACAATCTGTATAGTACGATTTGTGGAGAAGTAAATCAGTGCATGCGCTCCAATTATGGCGAATATCCAAAAGGAGAAACGACTTGTCCATACTACGCATAGGAAGATGTTGAAACCATAATTTCCAGTGCGTATTTGATGTGGATAAATGTCACCGAGGAGGTTAATTATCAGTTGTAAGACAGAGCATATGGAAAGAGTTCGAAGCATCAACAGACTGGTTCGGGTTTTTCCATCTACTCGACAGAGCAGCACGGCTACTATGACGCCTGGAAGGAGGCCCAACAACTCCGTTATAAAGATTACAATATCTAGAGCGTCTATGGTATTGGTGGTGTTCATACAGAGCCAAAAGCTCTCCGAGGAGTCCTTAACCAGCATGGCGCTTTTTTGAAATAAACGGAGGCGACGCGGATGTGGTGCAGCCACCCAGTGAAATGCTTATTGGTCCACCCCAAAAGTGGGCGTGAGACTGTCGAAGTTTGACAATTTAATGAGCCCATCTGCAGTTCATTGTAAATTCTAGATCCCACCTTGACAACTAAATTGCTTTAGTATTAAGTTAAACACTTGTTTTTTTACAAAAGTGCATTTGTGCTCACGCCAAGTTATGAAACAAATTATCGTTCTCGCAATTATCATTGATAATGAAGTAAACTACTTGAAGCGCATGGCTTAATTCTATGAAGGTTTTATTAGATAAAAAGTTGACTCAAATTTCCTCCCTGTAAGTCAACGTGATCTCGCATGCAAGGTTCAGGCTCAAAGTACGCACTTCCGCATAGTATCAACCATCGGAGGCATAGATTTACACCCGTTACTTCAACAATTCACCAAACAAGTTACACCTCAAGCGTAGTGTTCTAAGAATTTTGTAAAGTCGCCAATAATAATTAAGGAATCGTTAAAAATACCATTTGTTGAGAACGTAAAAGGAAAATTTCCGACTTCCCTGCGCATGAACATCGTGGTCCAAAACTGGACTCTACTAATTACCTATGCGTAAGCATAATTACAAAGAAATACTCAGTTAATGAAAGGAGGATAGTTCCAACCACGATTTTTTATTTTTTTTCAACTACATTTGTGCACTTTTTTGCAAGAAACTCGAATGCTTCATGGTCGAAAACTTTACGAAATGCGAGGTTTATGACGCGACTGATTAAAGCCTAAAATCTTTTGGAGGAACTTTTGTTTTGATGCTCTTGACGAAGATTCCCAAAGGATGCTCCACGTAGGTCGTTTGACATGGCATATGCCTGGAGCAAAGTTGTAGATGCAGAAAAAATCACCTCAAAGATCAACAAGAGCGACTGACCTCGATATTTGGTTTATTTTTACAAAAAATACGTACTTATGTGCACTGTTACTGTGGAAGATAATGTGAGTTTGGATCTCTGGCGTTAGTTCAGCATAAAGACATTAACCACCTTTGGTTTAAAAATGTCTTGAATTTGTCTTCAAAGGTTAATTGTTTCAAACGGAAAACTTGGCACAAAATTAACTTTATATACATAGTCGAAGTGCTGTCGATGTAGGGGCTCAGGCTGGCCTATATCTACAAAAGTGTTGTGAAAACGCCATAGTTACCACCCGCACCAGTCTGATAATAGAAGAGAAAACCATGTATACTGGCGTGATAATTAGGTAAAGAGCTCCAAACTAAACATTAAGCATTTGAGAGCCGGATTTTAAATACACATATGTATGCGTATATTTTAAGCATTTGAATGGTTTTTACCGGCAATTAAGTACATTTGCCTTCAACCAAACATTAGTTAATCCTGCCCTAACGTCTTAAAACATCTTAAAGAATACATGTGCAGGCTTCAAAGTCACTCAAATCCTAACTATTACAAGCTTAGTGTTATACTTTTAACCTTTACTTCCTCGGTTCTGCGTATTCTGACCGTTTTGAGTTATTTAAGAATTCCGAAGGAGAAAGTAGAGGTGTTCACTGACTTCCAGAGCTTTTACAAATTTTCGTGTCTGCTAGAGCTTTTATGACGCAAACGGCATCCACCATTTTTGAAATGTAGCTATTATCCTAAAAAACGCGTGGAGTGTTGTGTTTTTGGTACACTTTGACTACAAACACTGAATAGGCTAAGCCGTTGGCACTGTTTATTAAATTCCGAACTAGGAATATTAGTGAAGACGGCAGCGTCTTTATCTTTTTTAAAACTAATGAGAAGTGCTTTAAGATATCTCGGAAACTATCAATACACACGTTTGCATTTTTATTATCATTTGTTTATTTTCATAAATTAGTGCACAATTAAGCAACCTATTAAGACTTCGTGTTTTGATATGGCACTGCTGCTTGTTGCTGTTATTGCCTTCAATTTTTGTATCATCGGACGGACTGACAGAATCTCTCTCACTGCTTTCCCATCTCGATTCCCTCAGAACGGATCTCGTCTACACCTTATTTGCCAGTTTCATCACGAAAAGAAATTCAACATTATGTGGAAACGAAACGACTTTGATGTTGGTGAAGAGTGCATCAATTATAAAAAAATAAACACTTCTGTGCAATGTTATAAAAACAAAACGAGTATTGAGTGGATATTGGCTCCAGTTACTTATGCAACCCGTGGCAAGTGGTCGTGTTCCCATGGTAGTCAAACAGCGTCTGTGGACATCACCGTTAATGGTAATATACCTATAACCCTATTGTATTTTATTGAGTTCGAGCTCTAGATAGTCGAACGCTTGAAGTCTTATCAATGTTTTTTGTTTGCTTTGGTTTACAGTTTCTCAAATCTTAAACCCTTCTAAAATCGAAATTCCTTTTGCAAGCGGCATTCATGCAGCTTCAGGCTCAACTACCGAATCCAATTTGAATGGTGAATTTGCGTTGGGTACAGGATCACGAGCCGATCCACTTGATCTAATTCGTGGTAGATCATATGGCATAAAATTTATTGTTTTTGAATGTTCTTCCCAATGTGCGTCCAATACACGTCAACTAATGTGGAGCTCCGTTAATAGTGTAAGCGTTCATCGCTCCTTTTAAATATCGCCCTTTTTATCCACCCCCCACCTGGAAATCTGTAGTTTGGTCTTAGCAGTAGTACATAGTCGCATTTTCGGTTTTAGTTTCCTAGGAAGGTGCACAGTTTGTCTTGGAATTAGTGATAGCTGAGTTTGTAAATAGTTTTGGGCAATTCAGTAGATTATTGTTTGCCATAAGCATATCATTGATCTTGTGGTCTGGACAACTTTTCAGTCTATGATAGCTGAATTTGTTTATCTTATGTATTAATTCGTAGACAAAACATAGAAAACATCCGTTACCCAAAGTGTATCCTCCGGAGACTCGCTATTGTCCTGAAGGATTGAGCTCAGCTAAAAGTCG